AAAAAAAAAAAAGTTTATGAAACTCTTTTCTGAGACAGTACTGGGTGGATATCATTTGTAAAACCCAGTATTTATCTATTTATATGTACCTTGTTTCCTTCTTACCAGGCATGTAAGCCAGTTGCCATTCAACTAGATAAGAATAGGGAGGCAGAAAGCCAGGCATCTTAGCTCATGCCTGTAATCCCAGCAGCTAGGGAGGCTTGAGGCAGGAAGATAGGGAAAAGTGCCGGGTATGGTGGCATACGCCAATAATCCAAACTACTTGGGAGGCTGAGGCAAAAGAATCGCAAGTTCTGGGCCAGCCTGGGAAACTTAGTGAGACCCTGCCTCAAAATAAATAATAAAAGGACTAGGGATGTGGCTCAGTGGTAGAGCATCCCTAGATCAATCCCTAGTATCACAACAAGAACAAAAAAAAGGATGCTATATATGTTRATTAGCTTGATTTAATTAATATGTGTGTGTATCACACTGAACATTATACATATGTACCATTTTTGTCAATCATACCTTCACAGGCTGGGGAGGGATGCAGGGCTGAGCTGGAAGGCCCTGAGGCCATGGTGGGGAGGTGTGGAGGTGGACAGCAAATCAGCAGTGAGGTCCAGCATGCAAACAGTAGTGAAACATGATCAATCTCAAGAGTTGGAGAATCTGGCAAATGAAGTGTCCCTTTAAAGAGATCTATGTGAGAAGAGACCTTTATCCCCTGATGAGCACCATAAGGCATTAGCCTGTGCCATTTCTCACAGCTTCCTGCCACCAAGGGTCCAGGGCCAGCAAGCAGTACAAGAAGAGCAGCTGGTTCCAATAGTAGGTCTGAGTAGCCCTCTTCATCCACAGATCACATTTAGACTCTGGGAGGAACACACTACTTAGTTTAGGGCAAACATCTACATAAGAGTAATCCTCTTTTAAAAGTAAATGGAAGCCACACAGTATCAAGCTAAAAAGGCCAACACAAAAATCATGGGCTGTCGGATTCATTGTATATAAAGTACTAACAAAGTGACCATATGGTGTCAGCGGTTACCCTTGGGGTCAGAAGACCAAAGAAGCAGGTGGAACAGGGCTTCTGGGGTGTTGTTTCATTTCTTGATCTGGGAGCTGGGTACATTCTGTCTGTAGACATTTCATCCAGCTGTGATGTGTGTACTTTTCAGTATGCATGTTACAGTTCAGTTTATTAGGAAAAAATTCACAGTGGGAGTCAAACAAGCCATATGTATCAAATGACCTTCATGGACACTTTTCAAACTCATGCTTCACTGGCCCCTCCTCATCCAGCTCTTACCACTCCTGTCCATTAGAAGTGACATTAGAAGCCACTGATTAGAACCTGGGAGTTGGGTTGTCTAGGAACCTGTTCTGTGAGCCTTAGATAAGGTCATTCATCAGGACACAGCACAAGATCATTTATAATGTCTGACTTGACTACACTGTGAGGATTAAAAGCAATACCAGCAAGTATAAAATATCGGGCCTAATCATTTCAGTCTGCCTTATTTTGGTTGATTTCTGATTCACCAAATTTCTCCCTGCCTAGTTCCAAAGGGATTTAATGACCACTTACAAATATACAAACAGCACTGCAAATGAAGTGACAGGAAAATAAAAGAGCTAAGAGTGGTGCATGTCATCAAATTTCCATTTCAAAGTCAAACTCAGGGATGTAGGGGGTTTGAAATGGTTGTCCTGCTAAAGTCCCCTGATTTCTGGTGCTAAAATGAAAAAGCCATGCTTCAAGGGTCCTTATTAAGGAGCCATTATCAGCTAACATTCATGGAGCTGTATCTCCATGGAACCAACTATATGGGTTGAGGGTAGACCATAGGTCTCACCCAGGGAACAAACAGATTGAGGACACAGGAGACAGTTTGGTTCACTAAAGATATATCACCCTGCTCCCTGCTACCCTGGGAGGGGGGGGGATTGAGAGCAGATGTTGCAGGCAGGCCTCCAAGTCCATTTTCCTGGAGCAGCACATTAGGCAGAAATGTGGTTAAGAACCTTCATGTTTGCCAAGCATTTGGTGTATGCACCTCTTGTTTTGTTCACTTGGCAACCAGGCGAGGGGTGGGACAGACATCCTCTTGTGGATCTTGAGGAGTCTAATGATGATGGAAATACATGTAACACAACTGTCAGAGTACAGCATGAAAAGAAGCACTCACTGTTTTGCCGTGTGTCAAGCTTTGTACTGGAAGCTTTGTGGACATCATGTCGTTCACAGCAACCCTGTGAAATAGTCACTTGTGTTATTCCAATTTATAGATGATCAGACTGAAATCAGAGCTTAAATAACATGAGTAGTGAGAGAAAGAAAGTCATCCCACCCTCCCTCAGAGTTGAGCCCGGGAAGGCCCTGAGGACCAGTCCATAGTTCTGCTCAAAAAGTCAAACACAGAGATGTAGGGGATTTGAAGTGGTTGTCTATCTCAACATTTCTGCTTTTTTTTTTTTTTTTCAGCAAGCTCTTTGAAGATAGGGACCATCTATGATGGACCTTCTTCTCCTCATTCCCTCATTTGTAGGCTGGTGTCAGACACTTGGTGAGACCTTAAATAATTATATGTGGCCTCAGATAAAATTAAGTCTTTCTAACAGGTTGAAGTGCCTCCCGGAGTGACAAATTCCTCTTTTCAAGTGACTTCTCAAAATGTTGGACAAGTGACTGTTTATCTGCATGGAAATCATTCCAATGCAACCAGGTAGGCTGGCCTCCTCCCTGGCCACATGGGCCTTGAGGAAAGGGAGGCCATGCTGGGCATAGGGCAGAGGGGCTTTCTTCAGAAGCCCAGCCTTAGCTCATCACATCCCAAATCCCTTTCTAGCCCAAGGATACGCTTCTTGGTCATCCGCAGCAACACCATTAGCATCATAAACCAGGTGATTGGGTGGATCTACTTTGTGGCCTGGTCCATCTCCTTCTACCCTCAGGTGATCAAGAACTGGAGGCGGAAGAGGTAACCTTCTAAGCTTTGCCTGAAGGCCTGTGGGGCAGTGAGAAGGGGCATTCCAGTGAGGCTGCAGTTGGTGCTGCTTCCCACGCTTCCCTCTGCTCTTCTCTGGCTGCCTTCTCAAGAAGGTTGTCCTGATGGAAAAGTCCTCTCTAAGAGCCTAGGTAGGAGTCCAGTGCTGAGCATTGGTCCCTTAGCCAGTTTAGTCCCTCCCTGTGGAAGCAACAAGATGAGTTTCTCAGCTTTTCTAGGGGAAAAGCCCACCCAAACCTCCAGAGCCCTGGAAGACTGAGGTGTCAAGTCACTCATCCTTCAGTCCTGGGGACCAAGCACTCCCACCTGGTTTTAAAGACAAAAGTGAAAGCAGGCTTGAGGGTGCATCTTCATGCAGCAAGGACACAAGCTCTGCTGCAGTCATCCTAGCCATGGGAGCCTCATAGCAGGGAGTCGGTGAGGGCAGAGGTACTTCTGCAGGAGGCCTCCAGGATACCCTGTGGGAGCCAGGGCTGAAGGAGCAAGTGAGGGAGGAAGGGAATTGGCACCCAAGAGAACAGGGATTGGGTGGCATTGACTGTGGAATGTTAAAGAACCAAAGAACAGTGCTCTCCTCACACTTCACCTGCTAGGAGCTCTGTCCCCTCCCAGGTCTCACCCTTCCCTTCTGCATCCCTTTGCCCTTGGCAGTGTCATTGGTCTGAGCTTCGATTTTGTGGCCCTGAACCTGATGGGCTTTGTGGCCTACAGCGTGTTCAACATCGGCCTCCTGTGGATACCCTACATCAAGGTATGACACTGCCTGTCCCCCATGGCTTGTCCAAGCTTCTTGCTGACTACCTGCCTCTCACCTCCCAGCTTCTCCCCACCCTCAACAGGAACAGTTTTTCATCAAATATCCCAATGGTGTGAACCCTGTGGACAGTAATGACGTCTTCTTCAGCCTGCACGCAGTTGCCCTTACCCTGATTGTCATCATGCAGTGCTGCCTGTATGAGGTGAGAGATGAGGCCTGGCAGCCAGGCCCACCAGGAGCTATCCCAGCCAACACCTGTCCCAACCCACCCACATGCCACCTGCCATTCCTACCTGCCACTGGATAGAGATGCAGAATCGTCAGAAAGGAAACATATGCATTCAGCATCTACTTCCCAGGCCTGGATAATGGATCAGGCCCTGTGCCAGGCACAGAGAACACCTAGTGAGTTCAAGCCCACAGGGCTCCAAAGTCTTTTATGAGGGACACAGAGAAAAGCAGTGACAAGACATCAGGCTGAGAGCTGTGTGGAACAGGGAGCACAGGAGGCAGAGTAGAGGCCCAAAGCCAGCCAGGGAGGAAAGGGAAGGAGGGTGATGAGGAAATGATTCTTATTGTGGTTCCAGGGTAAATGACGTTCCTGTGTTATTAAAGAGGAAGATGGGGTTGTCATTCCCCATGAAGGGACAGAATTTTGGAGGCTGAGGAGCATTTGAGAGGAAGTATAAGCAGATGGGTGTGACCAGGGCTTAGGGTGCCAGCTGGAGAGCTGGCTCCACAGAGGTTAGGAGGAGCCTAGGATCAGCCTTGTTGGAGGCCCATTGGAGTCTAAGGGTCTCAGCAGGGAAGGGCACAAAAACCCCTGAAGCTTTGTTTTCATTTCCCTGTGATGTGTCACCTCCTTTGGTGAGTTCTCTTTACATACTGTTCAGGGCCCACAGAGGGGCTGTGTGGCCCCCGTCTTCACGAACCTTCTCAGTTTTCTTATCCTTGGCTGTAAAACTTTGGTGAAGAAGGCCCACTTGGCACCATGTCTGGAGAAAGGCTGGGATCAAGGCAGATTCCGGGAAGAAGAGAATGTCCAAGCAAACCCCACTAGACCTAGGATATTAAAGAGGTTCCACCTGGTCATAGAACAAGTCGAAACCTGGGCTAGGATGAGTTGCTGGGCTTCCGGTGTTGGAATTTACATCCTTAACACCCTTCACTCCTTTTGGAATGAGCTTAGAGGCCACCCAGCTTTGCAAAGCAGAAACAAAAAGTAGATAGAAACTGGAGACTGCAAAGTAAAGTTGGTGCTGGGGATGGGATCTCACACCTGGCAGCTTGGGACCTCATCCCAGCCCAAGTGTCAACTTGTTCCATGTCCCAGATGGAGCCTGAGGATCCCTGGTATCTTTCCTTCATCCCACCTTTCACTGAACATAGCCTCAGTGTAGGCCTCCCTCACATGGGCTATGTCAATGCCAGGCTTCCATCTCCAGCTCTCCCCTTCAACCCACTCTGCACCCCTCCTTCATGGTCATCCCCTCCTGAGATCCTGCAGCAGCCCCTGTGCCCCTATCTACAGCCCCATCCTCTTTGTCTCATCCTCAGCGAGGCAGCCAGCGTGTGTCACAGCCCGCCATCGGCTTCCTGGTACTCTCGTGGCTCTTCGCCTTCATCACCATGATTGTGGCTGCAGCTGGGGCAACCACATGGCTGCAATTTCTCTTCTGTTTCTCCTACATCAAGCTCGCTGTCACACTGGTCAAGTATTTTCCACAGGTACTCCAGGACTTTGCTGCATTATCATATGGCCGGTAGTGTGAGAGGTGAGAGGTCCTAAGCTCAGGCCCTGCTCCCAAGGCAGCTTTTGCCAGGGCAAGGAAACTAGGGTGGAAAACCTCAGTGGAAACCAGTGAGCCCTGGGAGGTAGGGAGCCCCAGTGGAAGACATTTAGGAGCATCTGGGACTGCAGAGGTAACAGCAAATATGGACCCTGACTGGGAGAGGACCACCAAAGAGGCCAAGACTTCCCTCCCATGTGGTACCAGTCAAGGAAGCCCAAAGAGCACCACGGGTTTGGAGGAGGGCTATGGAGCCTAGGCAGAAGGAAGAAGGGAATGTCCAAGCAAAACCCACTAGACCTAGGATACTAAAGAGGAGCCCCGGAAGCCCAGCATGGCTCAGATGGGAGTTATTTTCACTCTACAGATGGGGAAACTAAGGCAAGGAGAACTTGGTGATTTGCCCAAGGAAACAGCTCTGATGATGGAGCAGGTATTCCATACCAGGAAGCCAGGCTCCCAGCCTGTGTTGTTAAGGCACAGCACAAGTCCATGCTGAATACGGGGACAGCTTCATTAGAGATGGGAAGAAGAATCAGAGTTGCTGGAAAACCAGGATAGGGCTTCATCCATGGGTAGGAGTAGAGAAGGCAGCGGCTGTTTTCCCTCCCTCCCTCCGATGAGTTGGGAGGTGCTGGAGTGAAAGGAAAGACTTCAGTTGCCCTGCCTGCAGATGAAACCCCAGGACCACCCAGACTGTTCTTTTGGCTGAGGCTTGTCAGAGCCTAAAGGTCACCATGTTCCTTGGAGCCAAGGCTTGGGCACAAAAGTGGGATGAATCAGAGCCACCCTTGTTTAGAGTGGCAGACATAAGGCATAGCCATCCAGCCCCCTCACAGCCCTCCATCTGTCTGTGTGACCCAGGCCTACATGAACTTTTACTACAAAAGCACTGCGGGCTGGAGCATTGGCAATGTGCTCCTGGACTTCATAGGGGGCAGCTTCAGCCTCCTCCAGATGTTCCTCCAGTCCTACAATAATGGTGAGTCAGCAACAGGCTGCCCCCACCCAGTGGGTGTAGACACAGGGTAGGGCCAGGCTTTGGGACCCACTGCCCCCATCCCCAAGCCATAGCTACTCCCAGCAGCCTGGGGATTCCAAGCTCATCCCAGCCTACAAGGACAAACTCACCCAGGGGCTTTGCAGCTAGAGAATTTGCAGTCCTGGGCAAATGGGGACCCCCACAACCCCACATGTGCCAACTGCCACAGGAACTGCCAACCTAAAACCAGATTCTGTCCCCTTGACTATTAACAGACCAATGGACATTGATCTTCGGAGACCCAACCAAGTTTGGACTTGGCGTCTTCTCCATCTTCTTTGATGTTGTCTTCTTCATTCAGCACTTCTGTTTGTACAGAAAGAGACCAGGGTACGAGCAGCTGACCTAGCACCCAGAGACCTAGTGTAAATGGCCAAGACCCTGGGCTGGTGGGTAAGGCTGCACCCAGCAAACACCAGAGAAGAGGTTGGTGTGCAGGGCTGGCTCGGATGTGCTGACAGAGGAGAAGTGCTCTCTTCCTCAGGGCCAGTGCCTTAAACTCAACCAGCCTGCCTTCATCCAGTTCTCTCTGGGACAGACACCTGACTCTGCTCCAAGACTGAAAGCTAGACCTCCCAGCCTCCCCAGAAGTCTCAGCCCCTCCCAGGCCTCAAGGGCCAGGCATCTGGCCCTCCTGCATCTTGATGCTCCATCTTTTTTCTTTAAGGCTTCAGGCAGCACACACAGGTCCTGACAGCCATCTCGGGTGGAACTGGGTGCAGAACTTGCAGCTGAACGCCTTTCCCCAAACAACCAATGTTTCTGGGAGCACCTCAAAGGGCTGACCTTGCAGCCAGGAGAGCCAAGGGCACTTTGCTGCCACTGCTGTGTTCCTAGAGACCAAGTAGCTGGGTGCTGTGACCAGTGGACTCAAAGGTGCTGGTGCTGGTGGCGGAGGGGCAAGGATTTGGGGGTTAGGCCTTGGGGTCCTTTGTCTGAAGGTCCCCAAGACTCTCATTCTACATAACTCAGATTCCGCAACAGCAGTACAGATGGCCCCGGCCAGGGCCTGGTGAAGAGGATTTCTGAACCTTGAGATGCCTGCCAGATCCATTCTGAAGTGAACTGATGCCCAATGTCCTCTGGAACTTTATCATACAAAGTCAGATACCACACTAACTCCATTCAGGTTTTTTGAAGGGATGTTATGGAAGTGGCATACTTTCTTTTGTCCTCTCTCCTACCTCCACTTTTTGAGTCAGATAGGGCTCCATCTGAACCCACAGTGCTCCTAACCCAGCACCTGTACAACAGGACACACTCTACCGGCCTGTGCCTTAGAGGCCTGTCAGACCTACCAAGTGGTAAGCATATTTCCCCCAAGGGGAGGGCAGGCCCCCTTCCCTGAGACCTCCAATTTGGGGGCTTCAAAGTAATTGATACTATCTCACGCAATGTTTGTGGGCATAATCTTAATCTCAAACCTCCTTCCCTCCCACCCCAACCTATTGTCCTTCCTAGGGCAGGAAGGGAGGGTCCCAGGATGTGCCTTGAGTTTGCTGGCCCACACATTTTTTACTACAAGGCCAATGTAAGCGGCCTATATCCTTTTTGTTTTCACGGTGCTTGTATCCTTAATTAAAACCTGGCTTGTTTCTTTCTGCACACTCCAAGCATTTGCTAGATGCAGAAGGCTGCTCTGTTGGCCTTTAGAGCTAAGCCCTGGGGGCTTAGGGAGTTGGCCTTACTGACCTCCTGGTAAAGAAATATGTAGGGCCTAGGAGATCACTGATCTGAGGTGGCTGTGTACTGACCCTGCGCTTCATTGGGTATGCCCTCTTGGGGGTATGCCCACTCAGGGCCAGGTAGGTATGTCTTGTGGGTCTCGTATGCCATTACTAAGGTACACCAGCATGTGCAAGCTGCAGATGTGGGCAAGGGTTTGTTAGAGGTTTTTAAGGGCATGACTTCACTGGAATCAGGGAAGTAAAGGTCTTATTTTCCAGATTATTTTATCCAGCTGTAAGGAATTTAAGGTCTTATTTCCCTAGAGCAGAGAATGCAGCCCAACCAAACCTATAGACCGGTTTTATTTAGGCCACCCAGAGATTTTTATAAATATGTCCTTGGGTATTGCACTTTAAAAATCGGAGATTTCAAATTCTGGACTTTCCTTCACAAATCTGATTTGGCAATGTAAGGTGGATCCAGAAGTGGCAGCACCTTCTCAGAGCTAGTAGGCAGAGGACTAGACACTCACTGCTTACTACCTAGCTAGCTCTCAACTTGTGGGAACATCCAGGGTTATGTCCCTGGCTGTGGATCAATACTGTCTAGAGTCTCAGGGGCAGATGCTTTTCCCATGAACCCTAGAGTCCCCATGAGGCCCCTCTCAGGTGGGAACTGAAGGTAGGTTACACTGAAGTACCCCCAACTTCCTTTATGTAACCTAGCTTCACAGTGACACCCCAGGTTCCTCACCTTAATTGCAGTGAAGGTATACCCAGACACAGATGTGGCCTTTGCCACGTACAGGGTGTTTCCACTGAGGCTCCACCACCCACCATGGTACTAGAGCTGGGACCAGGGCTTCCCCTGTGCCAGGAAGCACTTTACCACTAAAGCTTCTAAGGCAACACCAGCCACACACTTTCCCGGGCAGGTGGGCCTAAAAAGAGTTGGGCTTTGTCCCAGAACAGTGGGAGACATGTTAGCCATCCTTAAAACCAAAGCACTTGTCCCATTCTACTCCATGTCTCAGCAAGGATCCCTCATGAATTCCAGCGTTCTTTATTGGACATGAGATGTTGGGAGTGGGGCAGCATCATACTGCCCCATTTCCATGGTAACCAAAGTAAGGCTGTTCACGTGCTAAGAGTAGTTGCTCCCACATGTGAATTAGTAAGCTAGACTCAAAACTAGAACTGGCATCTCCAAATAGTAAGGTAAAAACGCTGTGTATCAAAGTTGTGATTAAAAAAATACAAAAGGTAAAACCACAGGCAGAGAGAAAAATGGCAATCCTGAGAGTTGCCCTGAAATGTCAGTTTGAACCTCAGCTAAATCCTGTAAGTAGGCAAACCCTGGGGAGGCCAGCACCCCTCAGGGAAGTGAGGGTGCATGGGAGGGTACCAGCTGCCATCCAGATGAACCTTCATAGTGCTTCCAGGAGTGTGGGGGTCTAGCCCCCCACTGGGCAATGTTGGGGTGGACAGCATGTGGCTTGGGCACTGTGGAAGTGACATAGGAAGGCAGGGCCAAGCCCTGCAGCCGGGGCAAATGAGGGAAAGCCAGCCCCGAGTGGCATTTCCCAGCTTTGGCAGCTCTCAGAAAGTGGTGTTTTCTGCTCACCCAGGCACTGCTGAAGCAGCAGTGGGCTGAGCTTTGGTCATTGCAGACTGGCTTCACTCAGCTCCAGGCCCTTATTTCCAATCCTCAGTATCCCAGAGACAGACCTGGTCCCAGAGCCTCGGGCTAGAGTGGGAGGAGAAACAGGGCTGGCTCAGGCCTCTGGGATCAGCTGTCGCCCTTCTGAGCTRGAACCCAGCATGCAGCAGAAGCCAGGATGGAGGAGCAGAGAGCGTGGAAGTGGTGTCGCTGTACAAATAGGCAGGTAGGCACAAGGTAAGGATCACAGGAGGGCTGCTAGGACAGCATGGACTGCTGCACGGCCTTCTGCAGCGACTGCCGCGTCACCAGCAGGCGCACCACCTCCTCTGAGCGCTTGGTGAGCCGTTTCCGGGCCTGGTCATGTGTGACCATGGTCATGTCCCAGCCATTCACCTGATCCAGGGAGAGAAAACAGCCCACCTCAGTTCCTTGCTTCCAGGATCAGCAAGCAGAGAACTATGGCGTACCCAGGCCACCCAAGCAGGCCCCCAGACCAAAATCTCCAAACATGGAGATGTCAAGCACTAGAACTGAGTTCAAAGAAGAGCCTTTTGTCAGTGGGCCATACCAGCATGACTTCCAGTTGGCTTCGGTGAGTCCCTCTCTGCAGGAAGGTTGGGCCAATCTCTCCCAACCCCATGTGCTTCAGCCCCCTTGGTCCAAACCTTAATCTCTCCTCCTCTGGGTCACTTGTTACCTGCATGATTTTGTCTCCAATCTGCAGCCCAGCAATTTCAGCAGGACCTCCTTCAGACACGCGTGTGACATAAATGCCCTGAAAGAGGGAGCCCAGGTCAAGACCTGTGGTCACTGGACTTGCCCCTTATCCACAAGGCAGACCCTAACATAACATACTCCCAGCCACTCCTCTCCCTGGGCCCAGCCTGCCCCCAGCACATTCCACCAGTATAGACTGTGCCAGGACAGCCAGGAGGAAAGCATGGCTACCCAAGGATGTTCCAGCCCCTGCTGATGACCACCTCCTACTTTTCCTGGGCTGTCCAAGCAGGCCTTCCTAGGGCTGAGAGGCCCACTCCCCATCCCAACCCTTCCTTTTCCCACCATATTATATCTTGACCTCTATCAGGATTGTCCGAGAAAAAGATCTGCTCCTTCCATACAGGCCCAGGAAGCAGAGACCCACCATCTCAGGCCTCTATGCCCCATGGAAAGGTCACAGGACCTAGTTCCCTCTCACCTTGTCTGTCTTATCTTCTGAGAAGGGATTTTGAGAGGGATCCTGGTCAATTCCACCTCCAATGCTGAAGCCCAAGATTAAGTTCTCACCTTGACGCAGCTTGTGAATTTCAACTCTTTGCTGACAAAGGAAAAAAATAAAAGCATGAGGGGGTGAATGGAGAATGAATCTTGTCTGAGTCCGAAGCAATAGCCTCAGGCTGCTGGGTCACCTCAGAGCTATGCCAAGGGGTGTGGCCCAATAGGGCTGGGCTGCTGATTGGAGATAAGATCATGGGGCCATCAATAGGAACCTAGTTGGTCACCAGCCTGGGAGGCTGGGGAGTTGGGACTTAAAACTTGGCAACATGGACCCACCCACACAGCTCTCTGCCCTGTCTTCCCCCTACTTCCCCAGCTTTGGTCACCATGTGTTCTAAACCCGTTCTGGCCCAAGAGTCAAGGGTGCTGTGGCTGCCATGGAAGAGAGGTCCAGTTTCCCAGGGAGGGGACCCACAGGGCAGGAGGGTCAGGCACAATGCAGGTACAATAAGGCAGCTCAGATTGCTGAGCCAGCACTGTCAAAGGCAAGACATTTAGGTGCTCAGGAAAAGTAGAGAAGATCAAACTTGCACGGAAGGGAAAGGGCTTCCTTCCTGGCCAAGGGAAGCAGAGCAAAGGCTTGGAGGTCTGTGAGACCAAGAGTACAGGATGAAGATGTGGAACTTCGAGGTAAGATGAGCCTACAGCCGGATCAGGACAGCTGTGGGATGCAGACCCCTAAGACTATTCCTAGATGGGAGAGGGGGGTCCCCCTGAAGCCCCAGATCTTGCTCTTGTGCAGGGTTGAGGACAGTATTCTAGCCCCCCCCCCACCATACTCAGCTCCYCACCTTTCAGAGCCCTAAGCAGGTACCTTCCAGTCACTAGATCCTGGGGACAGAGATTAACCAAAAGTGGAAAGTTCTGGGGAATTTTTTGTTTGTTTGTTTTGGTACCCGGGAGTGAATTCAGGGGCACTTGACCACTGAGCCACATCCCCAGCCCTATTTTGTATTTTATTTAGAGACAGGGTCTTACTGAGTTGCTTAGCGCCTCACTTTTGCTGAGGCTGGTTTTGAACTTGTGATCCTCCTGTCTCAGCCTCCTAAACCGCTGGGATTACAGGCGTGCACCACTGCGCCCAGCCCCAAGGTGTAAAGTTTTAACAGGAAGAACGGGGGTGGGGTGGGGGGGGGTGTTAGCAAATGGCAACTGGATCTGGACCTGGAGAGGCTTCACAAAGAAGGGATCATTTGTACCAGGCCTTAAGGAGGTGATGAGCTTTGTGGCCACCTGATCGTGAACCCACCGGAGCACAGAGAATTTAGGGAATAGGGCAAGGCATGATCACATTTGATGCTAGAATGGCCACTTAGGTCATAAGTAGGAGAATGAATGTGTTGTGTGAGGTGGGTGGGGTTGGCATAGAGGCCAGAGGACATGAGCTACTTGGAAACTGAAATCCAYAGACTTGATGACTGTTCATCAGGGAGAGGAGTCGAGCATCTAGCCATCTAATCTGGCTGAACACAACTATCATTTCAGATGGGGATCTAGGAGGAGAAGATAAACTTTGAGTGCCAGAAGCCACCCACACAGGTGTCCAGAAGACAGGGCTGTGAAACCTTTGCTCCACATGGACAGAGGAGGGACCAAAATGGCTGTAATTCTCAAACCTATATGGGGGAGGGCAGGACTGGGGGAAAAGCTTCCAGAATCCTTTCCCAATCCAAGACATAGCCAGAGAGGTTAAACCCCACCCACCATGTTCAGGCATGCTCCTGGTGTTAGAAGAATTGGACAGTTGTGGTCCTACACTTTGAGGAAGAACCTAGAACCAGGCATGACATGAGGGGAAAGGGGCAGGAAACACTATCCCTAAGGCACATTCACCTGGATCCTCAAGTCTAAAAGTGTGAGCTCCTCCAACCCACCTCCAAGGTCAGAAAAGAAACAGAAACCTGTCACTGACTTGCTGGGAGAAGTCAAGCAGTTAAGGTGGCTCTCTGGCTCCTCACTTGTGTTCCCTGTTTTCCAGCTAAGAAGCAAACCTGGAACCCTCTTTCTGGGGAAACTAGGGATCTGGAAAAGTTAATCTGGTGCAGGGTGAAACTAGGACAGCGGTAAGCTAGCTGGTCCTGCAGTCCAGGCTTGAGTTACTGCTCCAAGTTCACCCTCACATGCTATCTTTATCAGTGGCTCCTTTGCCCCACCCTCCTGACTACAGAAGCTCTCCAGCACACCCATCTGAGATACCACCTCCAGTCCCTATGACTCCAAGGCTGGAACTTTTACTTAACTCCTTGCCTGCCGGGAAGGCATTTCTTCCCATTTTCTGAAACCTCTGGGAAGCAGGGTGGGAGGGCTTCCTTTATGGCTGGGCACGACCGGACTTCTCTCTAGGATTCAATTTCCCCACCTCTACCAGGGAGTTGGCTTCCAGGATCCAGTCAGCCGGGAAGCTTGTGCCCAGGTCTAGTGTCCCAACCTTCCTTTCTCCTTCTGCCTATTCTAAATGCACCCAGCATCCAAGACAAGGCAAGGAGGTAGCCAGAGGCCTGGGCTGAGTCCAAAGGGTGGTCTCAGGCCTCCMGTATCAGGTGAAGGACCTAAACTTTGCCCCAAGGGCTGAGGATCCAGGGAAAGTTGAGAGAAGGATCAAGCCTGTTGTATGAGTTTCCGCTCTGGACAAGGCGGCGGGTGGGTCCCAGAAGCGAGGCTGGATGGGAAGGGGTAAGGGGCTGCTACAGGAGGCTCTGTCCAGCCCCACCCACCAAATCTCCCTCCCATGGGAGGCAACCGCGGAGCCAGCTGGAGCGGAGGAAGCGCTTCCTCATTCCAGAGGCTGCGACTCACCAACGTCGGAGCCGGCGCCCGCCCCCCGTGGCTGCCCAGCTGGGGACCGGGAGGCCCGGGAAAGGGTTTTGGTTTGGGTTTTTGTTTTTTTTTCCTCCAGACTCCGTTGGGCGAGGTCTTTCTACTACTAGGTTCTCTCCACCCCGGCCGGCTGAAGGGAGTCCGCCAGACGGCGGCGAWGCACAAGATTTGACCTCTACCTAGGTTTTCGGGAGGCTCTTGAGTTCCAGCCATGTTTCTTGGCCATGGGAGGTTGCAGCACCGCTCCGGCCGGCAAAGCGAGGGCCGGAGCTCTGGCCCCCTATTTGCAGGAGCCCCCGGTTCAATGCTTTGTCGACCTGTTTGTGTGTCAGTTTATCGCTCGAAAAACTGAGGTCAGACCAAGCTGAGGAACCCGCGCGAGCGCACTCACCACCACGGCGGTGACCGGCTGGCCCGGGATGTAAGACATCTCGACCCGATCTAGCAACGAAGTGCAGCTGAGAGAAGCCCGCAGTGAGAATGCCAGCGGCCGCGCCCTCTCTGGTTAACAAAGGCAGCCCTACTTGGTCCGCCCCCTCATGAATTGTTAAGAAACCTCCAGCCAATTACCGGCCCGAGCGCTGTTCGGCTGTCGGAAGTCCCGGTGGGTACGTAGAGAAGCGGAGAGAGGGCGGAGCGTGGCCGAGGCGCAGGCGCAGGCGGGCGGGCGAGCTATGTGCGCATGCGCAGCCTGAGCCATCCCAGTAGCCTCCAGCACAAGATGGCGCCGCGGGAATCTCTACCTCGACCTGTGTGAGGGAACGCTAAGTAACGCCGCCGTGTTTCAGGTAATTGCGAAAGCATGGCCGGGGGATGCAGACGTGCTACCGGCCAGAGCCCTTAGTCTTCTCGGCGTCTTTTGAAGGTCCGAAACTCACAAGTGATGCCGGGTCTCGGAAGCCCCGGGGGTAGGGGGTGGTGTGAACCCAACTTGCCAAGCTTCAGGCGCCACTAGTAACATGGTTTTCTCCGCAGCTCTGCCTTGTTCCGCAAGAAAGCAGAGGCTGAGCCCCGGCGGGTGCGATGGCCGCGGTGGTGGCCAAGCGGGAAGGGCCGCCGTTCATCAGCGAGGCAGCCGTGCGGGGCAACGCGGCGGTCCTGGATTACTGCCGGACCTCGGTGTCAGCGCTGTCGGGGGCCACTGCCGGCATCCTCGGCCTCACCGGCCTCTACGGCTTCATCTTCTACCTGCTTGCCTCCATCCTGCTCTCCCTGCTCCTGATCCTCAAGGCGGGAAGGAGGTGGAACAAATATTTCAAATCACGAAGACCTCTCTTTACAGGAGGCCTTATCGGAGGCCTCTTCACCTACGTCCTGTTCTGGACATTCCTCTATGGCATGGTGCACGTCTACTGAAATGAGGGCAGGGGTGCCTTTTTTAAAACATCAGATTGGAAGACTGTTGCCAGAAATTAACACCGTGTAGACTTACTTAGTTTTTAAATTGTTGAATTCGCTGYTTGTTCTGTAACGTTATAAATAATTTATATCTGAAGACAGAGAGCCTGTAATATTCTTCAGATTAAATGAAGTGTGAGACACTTTGTGAAGTTCTTTCTTGTCTTAATGTATAGTTTACCAGTGGTGCAAAGTCGCCAAGATTTGACTTCTGGAGAGCAGGCCTGGGCTATAGTCTGTAATTTCCCTGCTTACATGTAGGCATTTCAGACAGGGGCTACTAGGGCTACTTACTGTTAACATCCTGAGAACGGATAACAGTGTATTTATTATTTCCTTACATGCCAGGCATTGTGCCTTGTACTTTTTATGAACTTTATTTCATTTAATTCTAGCAATAACATGGAGGTGTTACTGTTAATCCTGTTAATGAAAAATAGGCCCAAAGAGGTTAAATACCTCTGCCAGTGGAGACTCAGCTAGGAAGAGGCAGAGCCAGGATTCAGATGCAGTTCTCTTAATTTGCTTTTGAAGAATTGGATGAGTATTGAGTATATTTTTTTCACAGCCCAGTATTCCCTCCAACTAGCCACTCCTTCGAGATATGAATGGAGTCATGTCAGTTCAGTTTCACCTAGTCACAGCTAGTTGTCTTTCCCATAAGAAAAAATAAATTCATGCATTTTTTAAAAGAATACGTCTTGTGAGGATTAAACAGATTGGACTGCCAGCTAAACTCTGGGGTTGTTGAGGGTGTAAACGCCTCTGCCTATGTGCTAATCCATTATTCATTCTTTTTAGGAGAATTTTGAAATATATGTCTAATTGAGAAATATTGCAGTGGAGTTTTAGTAATATACATGTTGCTTGTGGAATTTATAGTCTAATTAGGGAAATTAGCATTACCTAATTTCACAGATTAAGTTAGGTAAGTGCTATGAAGAAAGTAGAGAATCCCCAAACCTAGCCCAGGTTGGGAATGATCAAGGAAGCCTTCTTTAAAGGAATAACCTTACATCTGAGACCTGGAGGTTGAATGTCAAAAGGGAGGGGGGGGTGCTTTTACAGAAAAGAGTCCTGGGTAGACGGGAAAGTATGACCTAACTCTGGAGAGGAAAAGAAAAGGCCCTGAGGTAGACCTGGAACAGATCCTGGAGCTCCTTAGTGGGCAGTTTGCCTGATCATAAGAGTAACTGTGGAGAAGGCTTAAGCTTTAGTAATGATGTGATCAGATTTGGGTTTTTTTTTTTTTTTTTAAAGATCAGTTTGAGACCAGAAGAGGATCCAAGAGCTTGAATCCAAGACCTCTTCTATAGACCATAAGTGGCCCATGGCCAATAATGGAAATGAATCTAGGACTCATACCTGAACTTGGGTTCCAGATCACTTACTTGTGCCCCAAGCCAAAAAATTGAGCTATAGCTTTGTTTCTCTCTTCCAGTGAGCCCTCTCTCTGCCCATCACTGAGAACCCTCACACTCATGGTTTGTATAGCCCAGTCCTCTCAGAGGCTTCTCTGAGTGAGAAGGGAGGGTTCATTYCTGATGTAAAGTRAGGAGGAAGCAGAGGGGTCCTGCTGTTGGAGGAAAAGAGAAGGGATGAGGGATCTGTGGGCTGSTTKACTTAACYATTTCTCTACTGTTGGGCAGTAAGTTTGTTGGAAGTGTTCACTATTAAAAGAAATATTGCAATGAATTTCTTCACATTTAAGTGATTTGGGGGGAATTTAAGCTCCTAGGACAGAAGATAACTTGATTCCAAATGCTTTCCAGAGTTTTATCAAATTAATAAAAAGTACCAGTTTTATCAGTGCCTTCCTAGTCTTTTAATGTTTATTCTTTTAAAGAATTGCCAAACTTTCGTTTGAGTTTCTTTGCAAGATAATAAGGAGCATAATGTATTGCTTACTAACTTGTTTCTTGTATCTGCCTCTTAATCTCGCCTTCTCCTTACATTTTCCCCTAAAACATGGGTAATCATGAAGATATGAAGGGAAAAAGAATCAGGACATGTTTAAAATTGATACTTTTTATTGTTTGAGAACCAAATAAAAGTGTCAAAAATACATATATTGGGCAGGTCCCGGAAGGTGCTTACCACCTTGCCCCCTTTAACTCTGTCCAGCCTAAAGGGAAACAGCTGGCAGTACAGTATAGTCTTTCGGAGAGAATGCGTTCTTGGATGCAGTGAAGAGTTTCCTCTGAGGAAACTCACATCGCTTGGGAGGTAGTGGATTGGAAATGGGTGGATCCCTTTTACATAGACTCAAGATGTCATTCCAAGTAGGGTGATTTTAAGAATTCTACAGGGCATAGTAGTCGATCACTGAGGTGCTCAGAGATACCTAGAAAAAGTAACATTCTCCCTTTACAACTGATTCCCCCACTGAGAACAGAAGAACTGATGAGGGTGGGTGGGGGTAAAAAGGCAGCCATGACTGTTCAGTGTTAATGACCCCCAGCATCAAGAATGGAGGAACTTCGACCTTTCGTGGCTGATTCCCATGATGTCACTATTAATAGCACCCAGTGTGTAACTAGTATGGCGCTCCCAAAGGCATGGGATAATAATTGTTAGGAAAATAGTTGATGAGCAAGTTTAAGCTAGGACCTAGAATATCAGAATAGGAAGGAGCTCTCTTGGACCAGGGATACAGCTCAGTGGTAGAGTGTGTGCTTAGCAGGCACAAGGGCACTGGGTTCCAACGCCAAAAAAAAAAAAAAAAAAGAAGAAGAAGAAAGAAGGTCTTAGAGCTTGAACTCTCATTTTCCCAATGAGGCAACCAGTGCCTAGAGAGAAAGGGATTTTCTCAAAAGTTTGGAAGGAGCTCAACTTCCTGCTTCACTTCTCTCCATTTAAAAGCACATTTCTGTAAGATTAATGAGCCGCCAACTCTTACACCAAGATTATGCAGAATGTGGCAAGCCAGAGTCTGCAAAAAGCAAGGCAATTCTGGCAGGAATGTACAGTGATGTCCAGAAGCTGTAATGGGCTCCCTGGTCTTTCTGAGTATGGGCCCCCCCTGACGTGTAGCCATTGAGGCCGCCTGGACAGCTTTGCTGGCCTCTAAGAAACAATTAGGTTGAATTAGTCCTTTTAAGGCAATAAAGTGTAATGGGGCAATCCTTAGAGGTAAAGAAAGCCAACTTGGGCTGTGGATGTAGCTCAATGGTAGAACACTCACCTAGAGTTCAAATAGGTCCTGGGTTTGGTCCCCAGTACCACCAAAGAAAAAAATCTGCCGGGCGTGATGGCGGCTTGTCTGTAATCCCAGCAGCTTGGGAGGCTGAGGCAGGAAGATCAACAGTTCAAAACCAGCCTCAGGAACTTAGCAAGGCCCTAAGCAACCTTGTTTCTAAATAAAATACAAAAAAAAAGGGCTGGGGATGTGGCTCAGTGGTTAAGTGCTCCTGGGTTCAATCCCCGGTGCCTCCCACCCCCCAAAAAATTAAGGCCAACAACAGGAAAGCCTCACAAAACCCTATGCAGCTACACTGCCTTCACGCATATCCTCAGTTGGCTTCTTCCTACGTTTGTGGTTCCTTTACCTGGACCGCTTCCTTCCTCACCCAGTCAGCTGCTCCTAACCTTTCAGGTCTCAAATAATATGTCAAAATTCCTTGGAGAAACTTTCTGATGACTACTGGTTAAAAACCCTCCAAGCACTCTGAGTCTGTGACTATAGGTGTGACCCCTTGGTTAAGGTCCAGCTCCCACCAGCCAGGAAGGACACGATGGCAGGGACCCTATACGTTGAACACAACTGTATCTCCATCATTTACTCCAACACCTTACACATAATAAGGACCCTGTAAATATTTACTGACTGAATGACTGTAGGCAGGCATTTATACTCCAATATAAAATAGTATCATTGTCCTCAGGTTATTTGACTGTGACACACCATTTCAAAATCAGGTTAAGAGGAACCAGATCTATCGCTAAGCAGCCACAAGTCCTGCCCCTCTKACCTCCTCCCAACCATAAAAGTAACATGCTAGATTATAAAACCCAAGGGTTTGCTTTAGTGAGGAAGTAAAACACTTAAATAGATCACCTAAATTTTCCACTTTCTATTCAGAGTGCCAGTTCACTCACTGACAGGTCCCCAGACAACCCAAGGTGAGGGAGCTGCTTGCTTTATAAGGAGTCGTGTTCTGGGCACCATGCTCCACCGCCCCAGTGGCAGCCTCACCAGTAACCTCCTGCTGGATGCCTTGAGACTCTTTGTCCCCAAAGGCTCCTGTGGAAGGAGGCTTGCTGCCCCCTTGTGTACAAAGACCATATCCCTTCCAAAGAGGATGTTCCCTGGTATGCTTCCTGGATGCTATTGGGTTCACCCAGCCATTCCTCCAATGCCATGGGATAGGGAAAAGAGCTAGCCAGACCCCAAGCCAAATATTTAAGCACATTTCATGTCCATCTCTGACACAGGAGCATCTGCCTTACAGGAAAAGATCATTTCCTAAGTTAGTGCATAATTAACCATGTGAACATGGATTCTTAGCAGAATAAGGAGTCTTCTGGAATTGGTAATTACCTCCAGAGAATGTGTGAAAAGAACTGACTTTTTACTACTCCTTTCTGTTTGGGGCGGGGGGTGTATACTGGGGATTGAACCCAGGAGTGCTCTACTACTGAGTCACATTCTCAGCCCTTTAGACTTTTATTTTGAGACATGGTCTTGCTGAGCTTACCTAAAAGCCCTTGCAGTTGGCTTCTCCCCTTAAGGGCCAGCTGCCTCCCAACTGGTCCAGTCCTTTCCTTTAAATTATATCCCATGGAGTAAGACCAAGTGTCCCCCTGGATGTTATCCAAAGGCTTTCTCCTTTGGATAAAAGGAGAAAGCCTTTGGATAACATCAATCTCTACAGGGACTTGTGAGTAGAGGCCTCCCTGCCTTCCCAGGCTGATCTCAAACTTCCGATCCTCTTGCCTCAGTCTCCCGAATCACTAGAATTATAGGCATGTTTGAATCATAGAAATATTACCTAGTCAAGATATTTTAATTCAAACAAATTGAGCATAATGCTGCTTTCAGGCTGGAGGTGTGAGTGGGAGAGGTATCCCGGTCTCAGGAGGTGTGTCTAGAAACTAGCTCTTTCCAGTCAAGCTGGCCTTCTCTCCCCTCACAATCAGGGTTTCTCAAGCAATAATAATATGCTTGCAAATCACCCAAGGGGAAATACRGGTTCTGAATTGGTAGGACAAGGGAGGGGGCTGAGACTCTGCATTTCTAACAGGCCCCCTAGTGATGCTGGTCCACGGACCCCACTTTGGGGGTGGGGAAGTGAGGGCCTCCCTAACAACTTGACACCTGCTAAAAGAGAATCCTTTACCTGGTTAGCACTTAAGGAGGGGAAGCTAGCAGGGACATCCAGCCCTACAAAACAGCAAGAGCCAAATCACACAGGCAAAAGCATCTCACATCTGGGCAGGTCACTATTCTTGGGGAGGTGTGAGTGGGAGACATGGTCTTGCTGAGCTTACCTAAAAGAATGGAGTAGAGTCCTCCCTGCCTTCTCTTTCCCATCTTACCTTAAAGCCCTTGCAATTGGCTTCTCCCCTTATGGGTCAGCTGCCTTCCAACTGGTCCAGTCCTTTCCTATTGCCTCTTTGGCCACCTTTAAATTTTATCCCATGGGTAAGACCAAGTGTTCCCCTGGATGTTATCTAAAGGCTTTCTCTGAGCAATTGTCATTCTCTACAGGGATTTGTGAACTTATCAGCTAGAGGCGGGAAGGCAGCCAGAGTAGCTGGGCAGTAATGTCTCTGTTGGCTTGAAGGTCATTATATGTGTGTCTACCCCATTTCTGAAGGCCAGGTCAGTATCTCATTTAAGCATCTCTTATATAGGGCCAAGCACACAGCATGCATCAATAAGTATTTGCTGCATGCACGGATGGATGAGTATGAATGTCCAGTCAGGTTCTCAGGAAAAATTAAAATAATCTAGTATCACTCAGGCTCCTGGCCTGCCCTGTTCCCTGGGCGCCTGCCCCAGGGCCTCCTCTTCTGGATCTGAGCCAGTCAGGCTGCCAAGACTCCCCTCCATACAACATAAGGCTTGTAACAGGATCTCAGTCAGGGGAGATGGCTGTTCCTGGAAGCCCCTGTCCCTTGCAGACACATGCACATCTCTTCTCAGTTCAGAGCTGTGGGTGGTTCTGGCCCCAACATCCTCAAGACTGCTCTAGGCCACCAGCTCTAGCTACGTCTCCACTGTCCGCAGGTTCTGCAGCTGCTCAGCATTCACCTCTACATTCTTCAGAAGGCCAGACCTGTGGGCAAGAGGGTGGGAGAGGGGCATACAGAAGGCAGAGAAGACTGTCAGGAACTCTGTGGATGGGTCACCTCCCTAAAGGCAGCCACATGCAGCAGCCTCCACCTTCCACTGACAGCACTGCAGGCAGTCAGAGCATGTGGAGAAAGGAGAAATCTGTCCAGGTTCCTGGCTGCACCCCAAACACATGGGGATGCTCAAGCTGAGTCCTCAGGAACCGCCAAGCACTGAGAAGCAGCATCTGTGGTGGCAGCCGGAGCGTAGGCCCATGAGCATGGAGCCTCCCACAGCAASAGGCAGGCTGGGCCAAGACAAGCAAGGCGGCCACTCTCTCCCCCTGCAGGGTAAGGCATTTAGGCAGGTGCCCAGGAAGTGATGGTCAGCTCAGGGAGCACATAAAGGGCTGCTGGGCTCAGACCTGCCCCACCCAGGTCCTTAGACTCTAATGCCACTGACCCCACTGCTGCAGACCCTAGCCTCTACCTTTCTCTCCTCACTCTGCTCCACCCCAGACTATTTCTCTGGCTCTTTTCCAGACAAGCCCAAGCTCCCATTTGTAAGCTGCCAAATCCTGAGTCTGCAAGGAAAGAAAGCTGGGGATTGGAGGAAAGGCCATCCCAAGACTGGGAACATCCCAGCCTGACCAAGTAGGAGAGGGCTCTGTGTCCAACCCCTACTGAGAGGAAAAAAGAAAAAGAAAATAAGGCCCAAGACACCACAGGGCATAATCAGAGCAGGCCTAAACTCAGATCACCTGACTCAGACTAGAGCTCCCGCCCCACAATCTACAGAAGAAAAAGCAGGCTGACCAGGACTTCCAGGCAGTGCCCAGGGGAAGGGCAGCTCCAGAATGTCTACATAGAAGAGGGACACAGGGGAGTGATCTGATGGGAGATGGGGGGATGAGGGTCTTTATTAGACAAGGTAACCCACTAGAGAACTAGATCCTAGAGATACAAGATCCCAGAGCTGCCGAGATTCAAATTCCAGCTCTGCCACTTATTAGTTGTGGAACTTGAAGAAATTATTTAACTTTTTTGTGCCTCAGTTGACTCATTAACAAAGTAAGGCATATCAGTGTCCACCTCATTAAGATGCTTAAATGAATTAACATATACAAATAGCCCAGTGCAGCACAGGGAAGGGAAAGGCGCTGGGTGAATAGGGGTACTCTTGCTGCTTTAATGCTGGGACAGCAGAGCAAGATGTTTGGTTTGCACGTGGATCCAGGGGGATTGGGGCGCTAACGGAGACTCATGGGGGCCTACAGAACCACCAGCAACCCCTCTCTCCCAAGTCCAGCTGGGAGGGACCTTGCGAGTCCTGGACATCCTGCCGGRTGTCCAGGCCAACCTGGAGGGCGTGTCCTAGCGGCCCCCCTCTGCAAGACTSGATCTTCAGCCGGCTCTGCCCAGCAGCGCCTCACCTGGCTAGCTCGGGGAACTGCGAGCACACACTGCAATTCCCCTTCCAGTGGCTACGGTTGGGCAGCGCCTGGGGCTGCTCCTCCAGCAGCTCCTCCTCCGGCTGCCCTGGCTGTGCCACTTCGGCCTCGGTCTCCAGCGCACTGCCCTCTCGACCCTGCCCTGTACGCGCCTCCCCAGACATAGGCGGAGCGGGCCGAGAAAGGCAGCTGCCCTCGTTCCTCCAGCAGCACGGTCTGCGGCCAGGTCGGGCTCCTCGCTGCTGGGCTGGGTTCAAGCTGCGGCTGGAGTTCAATCGAGGCAAACCACACCACTCAGACAGATCCTGCGCCCGCCGTCCTGGATGTGCGGGGCGGAGGGAGCTCCGAGATGCCCATCCCAGTTCCTCATTCTGATCCCAGCCTCTCCAGAAAGCCTTTCCCAAGACAAGGGCTATCCCTTCTTACCTGCAGCCTCCACCCCCATCACGATTCCCCCTCACACTGGCTTCTGCAAACACACGCACACACATACACACACACAAACACACTCACACACAAGCCAGTGGTCTAAGAGGACTGGAAAGAAGCCCCTGAAAGAAGCCCCTGCAGATTTCCTTACCACCCAGATTCCCAGCCCACTAGAACCTTCAAGCCCCCCAAATCCCAAAATACTAGTGCTATGTAAACCAACTGTCATCTTGCAGATAGAAAAACCATCTGAGACTCGTCCAAAATCATAGGAAGAGGCTGTAAACCTGCTCACCCTGCCAGCAGCCTGGGAAGGCCTCTTCTTTCCCTGGGCTGCTCTGAAGCAGAATCCAGTTCTATGGAGCAGGTATATTTGAAAGACCCCACATTCCCCATGCCTTTTGGCCCCTGCCTCCACACCCCAAACTCAGTAGCCAACCAGGCAAAGGCTCTAAGTCAGTGGGGCCCATGGGGCCCACTGGCAGAAAGGAAGCCTAACTGACCTCACTTCCTCGTACTTCTTGTCACGGTAGAACTCCCTCTTCTTGATGATGTAGATGAGCACCAGGTCACAGAAAAAAGCCCCCTGCAAAACAGTTGCAGGCCTAACTCAGAACTCTTAACTTGATTCTGCAACAATCTGCAAGGGGTCCTCATGTCCCCCTTTAACACACAAGGAAACTGTCTAGGGCTGCAGAGTTGGACCATGGTAGACACAAAGTTAGACTGGAGCTCTGCCACCAGATCCCATAGACTAGGAACCCCCCTCCATACTACCCTAACCCATTCTGTCAACATACATTTGCTGAGCACCCACCACAAGCTGGGACCACACAGGGGTACAGGGAGAATGTGGACCAGAGGGATCTTCCAGGGACTCTCCCTCTGCTAGGAGACAAGCAAATAAATTATGACACAGTGATGTGTCTTCTAATGAATGGGGAGAGGCACAGGAGTAGACAGAAGACAGGRCTTCACTCAGGCTAGATGGGGTGGATGACTGGGCTAAGCCTTGGGGCTAAATAGGAGTTCATACAAAGCCTGGGAAGGGCATTCCAGAGGGAGGAGAAAGCTTGTCATGCCTGGGAAATGCCATATGGCCTGTGGGGGAAGGGTGATGCACTTCTGCACAGGTGGATGGGAACCAGCCTGTCTGAGAATGTTCTTGAGGCATTCATCCTAATCCTTGAGGTAGAAGGGAGACTGTCAGAATTGCAACATTTTAGAAAGTCAGCGTGAGATTGATTGGAGAAGGTTTATATCTAACAAAGACATGACAGCAGTGTTCAGGGTAAGAGAGGCTGCCTGACCTAACCCATCTGAACCCAACTGACCCCTAAACACAACTTCAGACCCCAGCAAGTTGTGTGTAATGTCCATCTGCACCACTAAAGAGTGATGCAACTCACAGCCCAGGATTGGGCGTGAGGTTCCTGAGCACCAAGACCAGTATGGCTTGATGGATAGTTGAGCCTGGTCCTCTGACTCTGGACACTGCATATCTGTCTTTCCCAGATGCCAAAAATGTCATTTATCAGTTCCTTAATCCTCCTTCCTCCTTCAACCTCTACCACCACCTTTTCTCTGCATCATTATCTTCATTTCTCAAGTAGGTCTCCCAGATGTCAGTATTTTATCCAAAATGTAAGAAGATTGCATATATGTACACATATCTGGAACTCTCTAGCAACAATGTTTCCAGTTAGAAGGAATCCACTTGGAGCCCTCTGGTATCAATCACCTCTCAGGTGCATGGCCTTTTTGAGTTCTGAGTTCTGATACAAGGCACAATTTTCCTGATCTTAAGAAAAAGTCAACCCAAGATCCTGCCTGAATCTGCCAATGAGGCTGTTTGGGATTGTCATGCAGAAGAATGAGGGAAGAGGCAGCTGGAAACCTTGGAAAGGAACTTGCTGGCATGGGCAGCCAACCACCAACTCCCATGTCCTTAACAACCCTTCCAGAAGTACAAAGGGCATTACAGGCACTCAGAGGCAACTTGCCCAGCCCTCCAATCACAACATCCTCTCCTATGAGCCTCTCTGGGCTAACTTAAGAGCCACCTAGAGGAAGGATTACAGGGCCATCTCCCCAGCCTTCATCTCCTTGGCCCACTGATTCTCAGCCAGGGGACATTTCTGAACATCACAACTTCAGAGAAGGTGCCGTTGACATCTGGTGAGTAGAGACCAGGGATGCTCCCAAACATCCTACAATGCATAAGATAGCTCCCAAAGTGTCAATAGTGCGGAGGTTGAGAAACCCCGTTCATAGGGTAATCCTGCCCCCTTTAAGTAGAAGTGGAGATGGAGACTAGAAGTTCGGGGGCTGACCCAGGATTCCAGAGACCCCAGCCCACACCATGGCTAGGGGATGACCTAATTCCACCCCCAGCCCACCTCACAGCTCCAGAGCTACAGGCAGATGCCTCTTTGGCTCTAAAAAGAGAAATTCCAGCTGTCACTGCCATCTGGGGGCAGCTGGCATGATGTGAAATCCCAAAGAACCCTCTTTACCCATGTAGGTTCTGATCTCACCAAGTCTCCTGCTTTCTGGGGCATTGGGGCACACTCCTCCTGAGCAGTCAGTTACCTCCCTCTCCCTGCTCAGAGAATAGAAAGTGGGGAGGGAGGAGGAAGGTACTCACAGCACCCATGAGTGCCACCCCAGAGCCCACGTTGATGATTGTGGGGATGATGCTGAACTTTCCTGCCTGAAAGACAAGAGACAAGACAGGTAAGTAAGGCTGGATGGACGGTCAGATCCCAAGGGGATCTCCAACCTCCCACACCCCACCCTACCCAACCACAGAATGGGAGGACCACCCACACACCTTGCCATTAACTATCACATCAAAGCGGATCCCATAGGCTTTTATCAGGGTTCGGAACTCCGCCCCGGCCGAGTCTCGGAAATATCTGGCAAACCTAGGGGAGACAAAGCCCAGGGGAAGCCCCAGCCTGCCTGTGCCTTCCCTCTTTAGCAGCACAGCATGGACCATGGTTGCTCTGGGGATTTATCAGCACCCCCAGGAGACTGACTCTCAGCAGACCTAGAAGAGGGCTGCAGATCATCTCACTGAGCCAAGTATAAAAGATGCTCCCAGGCCTTTGAAATCTAAGCCAGGCATTACCCCAAGGGCCAAGGCTTTCCCACTACACTCTAGGTTAACCCCTGGGCCAACAAAACATGGATGAACTTAATCCAGCAAAGAAGTTGAGCCTTATCAGTATTATGGCAAGAAAAGACACCCTTCTCACCAGACAGATACACTCACAGGACGCTCCCCACCACTCTGCTGGGATCCTCTCCTTGGCCATCTCTCCCCGCATCTATTATTCTGACACCCATCCTAGGGGTAGCACAGTGCTGGCACCCAGGGTCAGATGTGAAATGTGGTCAGGGTCACAAGGTGGCACAAGGTGACAGTTACCTGAAGTTGTACCCGGAGGAGACAGACTTTACATGGTTGTTGTCCAGGCGGCTAAAATAATAGCGAGGGTTGCACTCGGAGGCAGCTTTGTCAAGATCACAGTCCCATTCAATATTAATTGCTATCACACCACCCTTGAGACAAGAGACAAGGCTCAATACCCAGAGCCTTCTGGAGAGGGACAGAAGTCACATACAGAGAGCTAGACAAAACAGATAAAGGGCTCAGGCTAGAGGTCAGCCCTGGGGACAACCCTCCAGGGAGGTTCTATCCCCACCTCTGGAACAGAATGGCTGAGAATGTCCCATTGCTCTAGCTACAGTATGGACTCTCTTCACTCTTCAGGAGAGAAAGGAGCTAACCACCCAGAGAGAGCAGTTTTTGTAGACAGGCACTTTACACATGGCCAGGATGTGCCCAAGGGACTCTTTCTGACTCCCTTTAGCCCGAAGCCCCAGGGGCTGAGAACTATGCCACAGGGGCAAGTCTGCCCCTCAATGAGCACCAGACTCCGGGCCCAAGCCGGGCACAGCTAATTCTGAAAACAGTGAGCTCATGGAGGCAGGTGACTTTGCAGGGTCATTCCCGACCTATAGATCCCCCTCCACACCTGCTTCATGTGGTCCCGGGCCCCTAGAGAAGGCTCCCTGATCATGTACCACCCACCTTCATGGCTATGTCCTGGAAGTCACTCCCCGCCCAGCGGATCACAGACCCCAGTCGGAAGATGGGGCAGTAAAGATTCTTGGGGCTAAAGCGACAGGATTTCAAGTAATTCGTGTCCTCCTTCACATTGGCCCTGGGTGGAAGTAGTGAAATAAGGATGAGCGAGACTCACTGTTCCTGGGCCTGACCCCTGAGTCAGTGGGCTCTTGCCTGAACTGACCACTCCCCAGCTCCTACCCCACTCCAGTCAAGAACAGAGCCCACACCCACAACAGGCATACGGGAGCCCCAACATCACCCTGAAGTTCATTCACATGCAGACACTGTGTGCACAAAGGCCCATGCACAGCCACGGGGAGGGCCAACCAAGGTCCTCAGGGGGCTTGAGTTAAGGCCCCATCCCATGAACACCCCCTGCCCATGACCAAGCCCCACATACTTGGAGAAGTTGAATTTGGGGAAACGAATGAAGTTCTTTATGTAAATGGTGAAGTCTTCAGCTTCCTTCAGGAGTGGTTCCCTGAAAACAGTCCAGGACCGACTGAGCAGAAGGCCCTGCCATGGCCCCTCCACGCCTCCCCAGGCCTGTGGCAGGGCTGAGACCTGTTCCCTGGGTCCCCTGGAGACTTTGCCAAAGACAGTTAATTTGCTCAGTTGGGATGGTCCTCAGGCTTCTCTGGGATGTCCTGACATCTCCCTCAGAACGAGAATCTCAGAGGGGACGTGTCTCCATCCAAGCTGGACCCACAGCATGGGACCCGGCAACTCCTCAAGGGACAGAGGCTGGAGCCACTCACATTGGCATGGACTGTGTCTCCACTGGGCACCAGGCGAAGATCTCACAGGTGCCCCTGGTTGAGTTCCCCACACGCAGACAGCGGCCAGTTTTCACTCCTGCAGGGTGGGACAGGGACGATGCCAGGAGCCTCCCAGCTCCAGGTCCCCCTCATCCCCACCTCCCCTGACCATGCCAAGCCCTCACCATTTCCAGCTATAACAGTCTCCCCAGCATGGCAGTCATGGTCCTGAGAACACAAACCATCAGGGACACCTTCATACTGCCAAAAGAGAAAGGYGCTGCATAAGGATGGCCTCATTGGGGCCACCAGGGGTTAAAAGAGGTCTTCTTCCCTGGCCTGGGCCCACACACCCTCTGAGAATCTGTTTTTCCCCCAAACTATGCAGACACTGTTCACCAGTGCATACAGCCCACAAGGATCCTCAGAGCACACAGAAGCCCCTGCTTCAGGAGAGGGGTCCACCCCATCACAATCCCACCCCTCCCCACTCCCCACACCAAATCGAACCTCAGCACAGGTGCCCTGCCGTTGGTTGGTAGTCACAATCAGGTTGGTGATCACAACGAAGACATTGTCTCCCTGGGGAGCCAGAGAGGCATTGAGGAACCTTCTCCTACCCTCTTAGGAGGACCCTCCTTCCCAGGGCTTCCTGGCAATGTGAGGCCTCTGCATGGGTGTTGGAGGAAATAGGGCCACAAAACTGGTGGATTTGATCCATCATCTCACTGACTCTACAGTTCCTGAGAAGATGTTCTTTTAGAGGTCCTTCCCAGGCCCACAAATCCCAAGTGCCCTGCCCATGAATCCCTATTCTAAATTCAGCCACTGGGGTCCAAGCCCAGACCTCAGAGGAGCAGAGGCAGCAATGGGGTTGCCCTGGCCCTAGGGCACGACAATTGTGAATAGGCTGAGGAGCTGTTCCCAGGGCAGTAGCATGTAAAACAGGGGTTCTCTGTGCTGGGCCACCTGACTCACAATGACCTGAAGGTTTTCTGGGCCCCCTTTAGTCTCAACAGACTCAGAGTTCACTGGGAAGAGAGCAGTCACACAAGGCACAGAAAACGAAGGCAGGGGATTGGCATGGGAAAAGAATCTGGACAAGGTCTCCAGCTGGGTGAAGGAGACAATGGATGGAGTTCCTGGGGCAAACCAGCAGCTCCCCATGTGACACACCCCCAACCAAGGCCTGCCTGCTTGGGGCCCCAGTGATAAGCAGGGCTTCAGACCTGGGGTGGAATGACATAATCAGCAACATCCCAGAGCCGCTCCCCAAGCTCAGAGGTGTTGGTATAGGCCACGCCCTTGACTTTGGTGACAACAGCGCTCTGCAGGGAGGTGTCAACATCTTGGTAACTCTTCTTCACCACAAACACCCACCTGTGGGAAGGGGAACAGCAGGAGGGTGTCAGCCACATCACTGCCTTCAGGGATGTTTGCCCAAGTCCAGGCTGGAGTGGGCATCACAGCAACTCCTAGGGCTCCACCTGTTCCAACAGCTCCTGGGTAGGGCTCACAGCTCCCATGGTTGCCTAAAACTCAGTCCTGCAAGCAGCAGAGGTGACAAGCAACCCCAGAGGAAGGAATTCTAAAGAGGCAAAAACCACTGCTCTCAGGTGCTGAGGCCCCAGAGCAGGGCAAGCCTGGGCTGAAACCTGCTCAGCCTCATACAGGCTGTGACTCCAGGCAAGGTGATTCMCTCTGGGAGCACTGGTTTCCCAAGGTAACACAGGGATAATAATGCCCCCCGTCAGGGATAACAGAGAAGGTTAAATGAGATAGTGCATAACCTGAAACTAATCTAGGAAATAAGAGCACAAAATCCTGTATTCTTTGAACCAGAAACATAAGCAGAAAAAAAAATAGATAATAAGGCTTCATCAAAATTGAAAACTTTTGCTGGGCACAGTGGCACATGCCTATAATCCCAGCAACCTGGGAGACTGAGGCAGAAGGATCACAAGTTCAAAGCCAGTCTTAGCAACCTAGAGAGACCCTAAGCAACTTAGTCCCTGTCTCAAAATAAAAAATAAAATGGGCTGGGAATGTGGCTCAGTGGTTAAGCACCCTTAAATTCAATCCCTGGTACCAAATTTAAAAAATTAAAAACTTTTGCACATCAAAGGACATTATCAAGAAAGTGAAAAGACAACCCACAGAATGGGAGAAGATGTTTGTAAGTCATATACCTGGTAAAGGACTAGTACTCAGAATATATAAATAACTCTTACAATTCAGCAATTAAAAGGACAACCCAATTTAAAAATGGGTTTAAAAACATTTTGAACATAAAAATGTTTAAAAACATTTGATTAGACATCACCCTCAAAAAAGATAAATTAGGAAAAGATAAATAAAAACCACAATACGAGATTCCACTTCACACTAAAAATAATAATTTTAAAAAACTAAAAAAAAAAAAAAACACGTGTTGGCAAGAATGTAGAGAAATAAGAACCTTCAATATGTTACTGGTGGGAATGTAAAATGATGTAGCCACTGTAGGAAGTTCCTCAAGAGGTTAAAAAGGGAGTTACAATGACCGTGGAACTTCACTCCTAAGTATATACCCAAGAGAACCCAAAACACATAGTCTATAAAAAAACTGTGCAAGAATATTATTAGCGGCATTATTCTTATCAGCCAAGGAGTGGAAACAATCCAAATATCATTAACTGGTGAATGGATAAGCAAAATGTGGCTCATCCATATAAACACAAATGAGACAGAACATATAAATTGCTGAGCACAGTGTCTGGCACAGAAGAACCCAATGAATAGAACTCATCACTTGTTGCTGTTGCTGGTAGAGACAGTTCAGGTTGACCCCTCTTGGTAAAGTTGGGGCAATTGAGGTTGAGGGAGCAGGAAGCCGCTACCGCTTACATGCAGTAAGTGGTGGGTCCCAGGGTCCCAGTGAAGGTTTTCAGCGTGGCAGACGCCAATGTACATGCATTCATCTCACCTCTGGGACAGAGCTAGGGTGCCCTGGATTCTAGGCTGCCATGTCTCTAAGGAATTCTGAGAGGGCTATGACCCCCCTGAGCCAACCAATCATTTTAGTAAGGACACCCTTGGCCTGGCCTGGACAACAACATGAAGCAAATACTCAAAACACATTTTCATTCATTCACTCATTCATTTCACACCTGTTCCCTAGTGAGGTGATGCCAGGCCCTACTACCCTCATGGCATCCCCAGACTGGCAGGGAGTCAGAAATAGATACTGAACAACTGTTCCCCTAAATTAGCTGATAATCATACCATGAGAATGCCAGGGAGGAAAGGAGAGGGAGTAATTCAAGAATCCAGGTCTGGAGAATGAGTGAGTACTAACTAAGGAGGAAAAGCATGCCTGGCGAAGGAACAGCATGTACAACAGCCCTGAGGTGGGAGGCATCCAGGTGCCTTGGGGATGAAGTTCAGGAAAAGCTGAGTGCTTGACCTTTAGGACTGAGTAGGGCAACCCCGAGGAGGAAATGGGAGAAACTGCACAGCATTTACTGAATGAGTTCGAGAAGGCACATCCCAGTTATCCATGACTGCTCTCTCTCTCCACCTGTTCCCTCCTGTCAGTCAGGGGTGAAGACTCTGAACAGTGCCTGATGAGCAACCCTGAAGAACTGACCCCTGAGCTTGTGGCCCCAGCTCCTGCTGAGTAGGATGGGGGGTGGGGGAAGGGGACAGATGAACTTGGGGATAGAGATCTCTGGGCAGGACCCCCAGCTGGATACCAGAGAGGCTAGGTGAGGTGAGCTGACAGGAAGGGAGTTCCCGGACATGCCAGGCTGATGAGTTGCCCCAGACCAGAGTAAAACACTGACGCTCAGTGATTAAAAATAACTTGCCTGATGCTTGGGCCAGCTGTCAGGCCAGGGCCCAGGGAGGCCTCTGGGAAGAAAGCCACAGCCCAGCCCCCTGCATCCCTGCCCCCTTCCCGTGGCCCTAAGACTGGGGGCTGCAGCACTAGGGAAAGGAGCTGTCTGTGGACAGTCTCATAAACCCAGGGACCCAGAAGCCCCAGCCCACGTCTCCTCACTTCCAGAGCAGGCAGGGGAGTAGAGGGCTACCTTTTACCCACAAGAGCCCAAGGTCGGCCTCTCCGCAGGCAGGGAGCACAGGGAAAGCCACGTGCACACGTGCAAATTCCAGGACCCTGGAGAAGACCCTGCCTACTGTTCTCCATCCTCCCTGCTGAGTCCTGTCCCCGCCCCTCCCCCAGCTTCCCGAAAGCGTCTAGGAACTCACACGACCAGGTACAGCAGGATGGAGAGCTGCAGCAGTCTGTAGAGCAATCCCACCTTCTTGTTCTTGGCGATCACATACTTTTCGGTCTTGTAGTCGAACAGCGACAGGCAGAGCCCCTTCCAGCCCGCCTGCCCCATGCCGCCGGCTCACCGGGGCTTCCAGAGCGCCCAGCCCCACGTGTGCCGCATGGGAGCCGCCGCCGCCCGCTGCTGGTAGGCCGGCGGTGCGCTGTGCGTCCGCGCTGCCGCAGCCCGAGGACGCGCAGCTCCAACCCGCATGGGCAAGCGTGTGCTTGGGCTGCGGGGCGTAGAGAGCGAGGCGCGCCGTTGGGTACCTGCCGGGTTCGGAAAGCCCCAGCGTTGAGCTGGGCTGCGGCCAGCCTAGAACCTCCGAATGCGACCTTGCAACCGCCTGGGCCGACACGGTGACACCACCGGCCGTCCTCCTCAGCCACTGGTCTGGGAGGGCCCTCAAGAGTTCACAGTACCGCCCTGTGCGGCTGCCCAGATGCTGGCGGCTGGGCAGGAGTGAGAAGAGATGAAAATAGGAACGCGGTTTTTTGTTTTGTTTTGTTTTTTTGAAATGGGGATTGAACCCAGGGGTGCTCTATCACTGAGTTAGACCTCCAGCTCTTTCTTAAATTTTATTTTTTAATATTTATTTTTTCATTGTAGTTGGACACAATTCCCTTACCTTTTATTTATTTACTCCTCTGGCCCATCTGCCCCTCACCTTTTGGGTCTCCCACCTACATTCTGTCACTGCAAGATAACAGAACAAAGGACAGGAACATCGACAGAAATGCGGGAAAGCTGAAAGATAGACCTTAGCTATAAAAGAGGGAAGATCTCCCCCTTCCACGGATTCCACCTCTTGGGTCCCCTTCTTCCTCGGGGAGAAGTCTTTTCTGCTGTCCTTTAATAATTTAATAATAATTTAATAATTTAATAATAATTTGCCTCGGCGTGCTTCTCTGGTGTTATACTTCAGCATTGAGGAAGCAAGTAAACAGCATTAACATGACCACAGCTCCTCTCCTTATCACTAGCCCCTTCCCCTAAACTAGAAGCTCCCTTCCTGGAACTGGAAGGTCTGGGAGTAGGAAGGAACCCTGAAGCTCACAGGGTGTGATCCTCCCAAAAAGGTGTGATCCTCTCAAAAGACCCGGGGGAGAAATTCTCCAATTTTAGCACGCATGGAATCCTTTAGAGAAGAAAAAGGCAAATTCCTGGGTCCTGCCCTTAAATTTTTTCGTTCACTAAGTCTAGGATGAGACCTGCAGATCTGTGTCTTGCTCCCAGTTGTTATTTGGTAAGCATGGATCTTTAATTCCTTTCATCAATTTCAACACAAATGCCATTTCTTCAAAAATGTTTATTTTTATGATCATACACCAAATACACCAAAAGTAGTCCTTGCCCTCACCCCCAAACCCCTCCCCCTTGTGCTGGGAAATTGAACCCAGGAATGCTTTACCATTGCCTTATATCCCCAGTCCTTTTTACTTTTTGAGATAGCCTAAATTGCGAAGGCTGGCCTCAAAGGCCTCAAACTTGCAATCCTCTTTCCTCAGTCTCCCAAGTAGTCTGGATTATAGGTGTAGGCCACCACACTTGGCCCCAATCACTTTCTACCCCATTACCCCATCTTTAAAAAAAATATATTTATTTTTTTAGTTGGACACAATATCTTTATTTATTTTTATATGATGCTGAGGACCTCGCATGTGCTAGGCGAGCGCTCTACCGCTGAGCCACAACCCCAGTCCCCCCCTCCCCGCCTGTTACCCTATCTTATTCCCATAAAACACTTGTCATTATCAGAGATGATCTCATTAACTTATTGACTGTGCCCCCCCCCCGCCCCCCCAGATGAGAAGCTCCAGTAGGGAAGTGACCTTGCCTTTGGACACCTGTGTATCCCATGCTCACTCCTGTGCCTGCCACATTATCGTTCTGTACATATTTGTTGAATGAGTGAACAAACTCAGCCATTTTTTTTTTTTTTTTTTTTAATAGAGAGGGCTTTTGGAACTGCTACCCTGTCCCAGTCATGACAGGGAAAGCTGCCAGCCTCTCCCTCAGCCCTCCCCCATGTGGCTCTCCAACCCTGGGGGGGCGGGGGAGCAGCTTCCATGCAGTCACATCACTCCTACGAACCTGAGGACACTGCTGCAGGATAAGGCAAAGAGGAAGATAGACCTTCCAAGCTGGCAGGAGTCCCCTGAGTTGCATCTGGCCTAGAGAAGCACTCCAGAGGCTGGTACTGGGGATTGAACCCAGAAGCACTTTACCACTGAGCCGCATCCTCAGCTCTTTTTATTTTTTTATTTTGAAACAGGATCTGGATAAATTGCCGAGGCTGGCCTCAAACTTTCAATCCTCCTGAGTCACTGGGATTACAGGCATTCACCACCACTCCAGGCTCTTGGGAAGCACTCCAGCGGCTGGAAAGCACCCCACAGAACCACTCTTGTACAAGTGGCACAGAGAATGGCACTTCATTGAGTCTCTCCACTCCCCAAAGGGAGCTGCAGGTTTTGTGACCAGAGCTGGTTTGTTCTGTGGAGGAGTCTCCAGAGACCAGAGGGGTAACTGAGGCTCCCAATCCAAGAACCTCTTCTGTTCTTGGTTGCTCAAACCTTTACTGAGCTCATACTGTGTGCTGCTGGAGAGGCTGGAATGCCAGATACTAACCTCTTAGCCTGTCACAGCTGCCACTCTGGCTTTGGAGAAAGGGCTGTGCTCTTACTTGTCCTCCAGGTAGGTGGACCTCCCTGAACTCCCACGCTAACCTGCAACTTCTCACAAAGCTTTAGAGATTGCATGAATGGCATCCGAGGAGAACGAGCTGACTCCTTGTGGGGTCCCTGACAACACAGCTGGTTAGACTATGTCCAAGATTCCCTGGTGAGTCACAACATTGATTTGCTAGGTTACAACTAGAATTTTTTAAAATTAGAGCATGTTTAAGAAGTGAGGATAGGCATTGTTTAGTAAAGTTTTTGTTTCAAGACTGTCTGTCTGTGACATTATGACATGGAATATATTTCTGTAGGTGTGAAAAATATGTACAAGCTATACCCAGAGTATCTGCATTTTATCTTCACGTGGCTGGAGCTAACTCACCATCCCCACAAGCTCAGGCTTAACACCCAATATACCTAAAAAGAGAGTAGAGGAGAAGAGGGGTTTTTTTTGCTTTTTTTTTTTGAGACAAGATCTTGCTGTTAGCCCAAACTGCCCTTGAACTCCTGAGCTCCAGCAATCCCCCTGTCTCAGTCTCCAGAGCACCTGGGGAAACAAGCCCATGACACCCCTTTGCTTTTTACATTTGCATCATTAAAACTCTTGAGTCAAGGACATTTCCAAAATCAAGATGAATTCTCCCTGAGAGAGAAAATTGGCTGCTACTTTTGAGTGTATTTTCCTTGATTCTGCCTAGCCCCATGTCAAGTCTTAGAGCCTCATAGTGCCCAATGGACATGACCTTCACTACTGTTACCACAGTGAACACTTCTTAGTGCTCACTGCTTGCAGAGCTCTGCTCTAAATGCCTTACATGGAGGGACCTATTTAATTCTCATGACCACTTCTGTGGTTGGTACTGTCATTACCCTGACCTATCCTAAGAGGTCAGATGTGCCCACAATCCACACCCTTAGTGAGCATCTGTGCCAGAACTGGATCCAGGAAATCTGGCTCCATAGTCCAAGCAATCGCCTCCATTGTTACCATGAGCATGATGCTTTATAGCTTCCACATCGCCTCTCTTCACTAGCTCTGTGAGACAGCCAGAAGTCATGGCAAAGCCACTTCACACTTGCTGAAACAAGGTCCAGGGGTCTCCTGGCCAGTCACTGGGGCTTTCAGCATGTCCTCTAGGAACTATGGCTTCTTCTGGAGGACACAGAGTGTGTAGTGCATGCATCCACCCTATCGCTGTGAGGCCTCTGCTGGGGCCAGGATCCTGCACACCCCATCTTCCTACCCTGTCACATAGTGCTCCTTGGAAGAAAATGACTCAATTCTTTGAGAAGAGAAGGTCAGTCAAGAAAATGGGCACCTTCTGCAGTGGCTCCCACTGACACAAGGGCCAGGAGCACCATCCTGGTATGCCAGGAGCTAAATTCAAGCCTATAAACTTCACTATAGGGACAGGAGACAGGGGTGCATTATCAGTCATCAAAGTAATCAGAGCCCTGTCCCTGCCTCACCACCCCTTCACGTCACCTCCCTCCCCAGAACACAAACCCTGCCTTACTAGGATGAGTGCTGTCACCTGAAGTAAAGGAAGAGATTAGCAGTGAGCAAACCATTCTCATCTTGTTCATGAGCCTTTGACTAGTGGGGTGATTTAAGGTATATGTGATGCAAAATAATTACAAAATGGATTTCTAAAGGGCCTTTCTATATCATCTCACTTGCTCCTAAGACTTGCTGACATTTTTAGCCTATGCTTCTGTGTGGTTTGGACCTACTCCTGGGACCATCTTGCTCTGCTCAACCTCTAGTAAAAACCACAAGGTCTTGGACGGATGTTCAGATGTTACTTCTGCCTAGTAAACTCTATTTTCCACCTCAAAGGACAGGGAAGGCCTGGAGGTAGATTTGAATCTGTCCTAGTGCACAAAAGTCATTACAAGATGACCGGGCCTTCCTTCAGAGCCTCGTGTACCCTGGTAGCCCAGAGACAAGCATGGGACAGCCACAGCATGGAAAGGTTTCACCAATGGCCTCACAAAGCAACCTGTCCTTTAATTCACCTTTTGCTCCTGCTATAACAAACACATTCCATTAATAGGCATTTCTGATCCACATAAAAACTAGCAGATACATTATTAATGTTGCTTAAATATAGTCAATAGGAAAAAGGAAGCTCCAATCTGTGGGAAATATTCCCACATCCATCAGCAGCTCTAGGGAACCATCTTAATTGATGGGTTGGTACTTATTACTTTGCTCCCAATGGGGAAAAACTTTACAACAGTATCAAACAAAAACAGTAAAGCAGGGGCTGCAATTCAAAGCCAGCCTCAGCAACTTAGCAAGGCCCTAAGCAACTGAGCAGACCCAGTCCCTTCACAGAAAACAGTGAGGTATCTTTGGCTTCCCATTTAGTTCCTTGTACATAATTCTTATGTAGTTTTTTTTTTTGGCAGGGGGAAGACAGTACCCAGGATTGAATCCAGGTGGGGGTCTACCTCTGAACTACATGCTTAAACCTTTTTAATTTTTTATATTGAGACAAGCTATCGCTAAATTGCTGAGACTGGCCTCAAACTTGCAAGCTTCTTGCCTCAGCCTCCCAAGTAGCTGGAATTACAGGCATGTGCCACCATGAGGCATGCAGATTCTTACACAATACACTGTCCTCACCTCCCATTCCAACCCTATATTCCCCAACCCAGCTTCAGTGGAATAGGCTTACATGCTTTATT